GCGGGCTCTCGAGCATCGCTGACGAATATTTCAAACAACATCATATAACTCTTCCTCAAATGTTAAGCACCGCATTTAAAGCAAGTATTTAAAAACTTCATCATCGTCGTCGTCGTCGTCATTATCATCATCTTCTTCTTCTTCTCCTTCTTCTTCGTCTTCTTCTATTACATTTGATCGTCTAAGGCAATAAACCAACACAACCCGCCGTAAGTCAATCAGAGAAAACACATACCCCTGAACCATTAAACTGATATCCCAAATGCTGTGATGGGCGGAAGACAGATGGAAAATAAAGCTTTCAGCACGTCTATCAACATCAAACATTGCAGCAGCAAAGGCCATTTATTGTTGTATATGATCTTCAAAGATGTCATTCGTGCAATAGCGATGCGAGGGTCCCTAATAAAACCGTCATCTAACCCTAGGTTATTTCTTCGTCCTCTTAATCTTGACACAGGCCTTTCACTGCCAGCATCTTTCAATTAATGTGTCAGGACTGTTTCCCTTCTCTGCTGTTTGATATGCTCACTGTTTCCATTTTTCAACGCTGCCTTCGTGTTTTCATTAAAGATCAAGGGGTATGCTGCATTATAATATGGTATGCCATTGCTCAGCAGAAACACTGAAATATTATTGGTAATATATGTTGACAATCACTGTCATCCCTCGTCATAAAACACAGGAATAATACTGCAGTGTTAAAAAACATTGTCATGCTGTGTTGACGATAATTAAGTTTACAAAATGAACCTGCTGTTCAGTGAATCACATGGTTGTCAACCCAAAATGTGTCCAAGAAGTGAGACGCATTAGGAGACGGGGTCCAGGGGCTGTAGGTCCCAGTAGGTTGGGGTTGGTAATTTCGACTATTTTGGAAGCTTCTGCTGGCAAGTGTATACATATTACTAGTATCCGGGCTTAGGTGTTAGCTCCAAGCAATCGGAAACGGTCGTTATTCTATGCAAATTCACTTTTGTTTGGGATAACAGCTTCCCTGGTTCATCGACTCCAGGTTATACAAAACACAGCCGCCAGGATAATAACTCGTTGTCTTCGAAGAGACCACATCACCCCCAGGTTAAGAGAACTGCATTGGCTACCCGTTGCCAGACGCATAAAATTCAAGTTGCTTACCATTATCTACAAGTGCCTGAAGACCAACACTGCTCCATCTTACTTGTCATCTCTTCTAAACAACCATAGACCAACAAGAAACCCTTAGATCACAAGATAAAGATCTGCTTATCACCAGACCACCCAGGACCAAATACGGGGACCGCTGCTTTGAATGTGCAGCTCCCATGCTATGGAACAGCCTCCCTATGTCGCTAAAATCCGCCCCAAGTCTACAAACTTTTCGAAAACATTTAAAGACACATCTATTTGAAATGAAATAGACTGAACTGCACAAGCGCCTGTGAGCAGCCTAGCTGAAACTCGGCGCTATAGAAGTAGATTAATATTATTATTATTATTATTATTCGAGGTGAAAACATCATATAGCGATATTTAGAAAGCGCTTTTACGAAAGAAATGTGAGATTAAGTATACTCGTGAGAACATGATTTTTATTAAAAGAACGTGAGACTAACGGCAAAAATGTCACAGTTTACAGGTTCGGAATCACTGAGTTTATAGAACATAATTGAAGTAGGACAACCAAATATATACCAGTAGATTATTTTATGAAATTGATTTCTTCGTCTATGAATATACACCACTACTGTCTTACAGTCGATTATCAGTGCACCGTTTCCAGGTATATCTGGATAACTGCTGAGAGTTACAACTATACTCTTTCATTCTGAATTTCAACTTAATAAAATCCCAAAACACGAACGTTATCAACTCTACTGCAGTCGCAATACAATTTGAAGTCATGTTTCGATTTAATCGTATCAGTCCGTTAAAAAAACATTTAAGATTTTAACGATATGTGTATATGAGACCCATCACACGTTGGTGACCCGTCACGCCTACATACATGGAGTGGCGCTACTCTACTCACCTATAGACACACTTGTTGGAACCAATACATACATGGCGTGGTTTCATTTCCTACATTGCCTTCGTGGACTATCGTTTATAACATCTCCAGAAGATTATCGACGCCCATAATGTTATTAGACAGTCTCTGTAGAAATCTGTGTGGTGTGTTTGATTGATTACTCACGCTGACGTAGACCGTCATTTGAACAGACACTAGAGTCTTACACCCAATCAAATCCCAAGGGTCCTTCAGCCTCCAAGACAATGTTTATTTGTGGACATCCGATTCCCAAACGACTAAATATGTTCCAGGAATGGCAAATTAGTCAACATTAGTCAATTAAAGTGAGACCATATTCTTTTGTCAGCCTGACAAAGTATATCTCTTCCCCAGTATAGGTAATTATATACTATGTCAGTACAGAACGTCCTTGGAAACTTGGCAATAATTTTAACTCAGGACTTGACAGACGATACAATATCCTGATATGAATTCTTTAGTTAGTTTCCCATGGGCATTCTTGGTATTGGAAATTGTCGTAATTACCAAATTCAATATTGAATGTAAATACGGAATTGATATGTGATTGCTGACATGTGGTTCCAGGTGATATTACCGATGAGGTTGTCGCAGATTACGATGTCGATCCCTGAGTACGTTTTCAACGTTTTTAATGTTTTTGATTGCTTTGAGAATTGGTTTCGAGATTTAATCCTATCAAACCATGTGAATGCGATCGGTTTAATTGTTTGCTTATTGTGAGCTTGATCGTATAAATGGTCCTCTAAATTAGTAGCATCAAACATATCGGATCACAGATAGAAAGCATAGGCACACAACAAACAGTATCCATTTGAAGTTTGATATTTATTACGTTGAACAGATTGAAGTAATGTGTCTCTGTACACCGTTACGAGCCCTGATTGAAAGATAACAATGTACTGTAAGGCGTTCAAACCAAACGTTGTTTGGGAGCATATTTTATTTAAGTGAAAATCAACCAACATATAGAATACACTATTATTGTGTTGTACACTGTCTTGAATATGGAAAATATCACTTCCAAGAGCTCCCCATTCTCTGTCCCTTTGTCCATCTAACATAGATCACCCGTGAAGATCCGTATTAGAATTGATCTTCAGTAACCCATGCTTGTCGTAAGAGGCGACTAACGGGATTGGGTGGTCAGGCTCGCTGACTTGGTTGACACATGCCATCGTATCCCAATTGCGTAGATCGGTGCTAATGCTGTTGATGATTGGAATATCTGGTCCAGACTCGATTATTTACAGATCGCCGCCATATAGCTGGAATATTGCTGAGTGCGGCGTAAACCTAAACTCACTCACTCACTCACTCTACCTAAGATCTATTTTTACCGTGTTTATATTTTTCCAAATCCTGTCCGTAGGTTGATGCATCTCTGACGTGACATGTAAGTGTTTGGATTGGTATTCTCTATGTGGAAGTTATGTACCACTCAGGCGGTATGTCAATATAGACAAGGAAGCAAGTACGAAGTGCTCTATCACAATGAACATGTAAGTTGCCAATTCCAGTGCCTGAAGTGGGAATGCTGGAACAAATTCAAATACATGTGAAATGATGCTTTGACATGTGAACTGGTTTAAAGTAGGACCCTGGGCAACATGGATCTACAAGAGATTACATTCCAACCAGAAATGCAGATACAGTGTCATTGAGCGCACGATTTGAAATATCGACTAATCCATTATAATCTCCATGTGTCTGTGTTCGGGAAAGCGCGCATGCATGCACGCTCATACACACGCGCACACACACATGTACACGCACACACGCACGCGCACACACATACTTCCGGTAATATTCACCGGACCACTTCAAGTGAGCCTCCCGAGAATGGAAGCCTAACGTGGTGAAAGCCTAAATTTTAATTGTCCTGGGTCCGTTCCTCAAAGCCACCGCTGTTAAAATGCGAGAGTTACCATTACCTTAGCAATCATTTGCGTCCTTGCTTCATTTGCTATCACACCCCAGATCATGACAGTCCAACCTCCAATACTCCATTTCAGAACACATGGCCTGATTCATCTGTGCACCTGTGTGCCTGTAGACACGTGTGAAGAAAGTGAAGAAGGAAACTTCATTCGGTGAAGAGAACTATTCTGCGCTCATGTACTTCCATCGCAAGCGTTGTCTGGAATCATCGACGTCGATCTTCTGGGGTCAGAATTTGCCGTCGTGCCTGGCGTCTTGCACGGATGTCGTAGACGCGGTGACGTCGTCGAACTGTTCTAAAAAAAGATAAACTGTGTTGCCAGGTAGGGTACGGGATAGGGTAGGGTAAGGTGCGTGGAGCGAATCCATCGGTCTTCACATGGGGTCGTTGCTGCTCTGCGGCAACTACGGGGACTGTCAATAATGTCATTGTAAGAATGAAAACGTCGCCATCCGTGTCAAATGGTGTTTCTATAGACCTTCAGTCGACGCTGCGAGGTAACATACTGATGCATAGTCCCATATCTCTCCTTCTGTCATTTTCAACAAGGAGCTATGAACAATGAATAGATGTGTTTTTCTGACTTATTAAGACAGCATTGAACGGAAATAATAAACACATGTTCGTCTTGGCTTTTAAAGAGAACATTGCTGACCATTTGTCTCGAACATGTCATGTTTCTTGCATATTTCGTGCAACTGCGTGGTTGCGTGTCTTCGAGCATTTTAACTCACTCTCTGGTTCAAATAAACATTCCATTCACAAGAATACCAATGAAAACATTAGTATAGTTCCAGAAAGTAAGCTTACACATTTATGGTTTGTTTTCATTATATTATGGTTTTCAAGACCAAATGAATACAACAAAACATATTGATTAGATGAGTCCTTGTACAATTAAACAGATCGAAACATCGTGCACAGCAGTATTACAATAAAGTTAACTAATTTGAAAAGAAGTTATAGTATATTTACCCTTGTTTGCAAAATATGGTTGTCATTCACAAACATAACCCCAAAACATCATTATCAAAGTCAGTCCATTTATTTACTCGCTAATACGCATAACAAAGGAATACAACAATAACCCGTAGTGTTTCAGCAAATCAACATCGCCGAGATCTTCAGAGCCTCGTTAAACTCGTCAAGAGACAAATGATAACTCAATGACAGCTGGTAATGAAGTAAACTAATTACAAGTACGTGAACAATATACATGAAGTATTGTTCATGTTCAGTTTTATCGTTGTACATCAACTATTTGCAAAGCCATACGTTCACCGATGAAACCAACTGAAGCTTGAGACATGAAAGACATGAAAACAAGGAAATGATTATTAGTAACAACTTGTTCGTAACATGGAATATTTTTTATACGGATGTTTTCGGGCTAGTTCTTGCACCTACGTCTTGTTATTTATTCACCCGGTCAAGGACAAGAGGAAGCCCTAAAACACAAGACAATCAATTTGCCATCCGACATAGATGTCACTCAAGCAGCTGTGAATTGAAGGGCGTCAATATCAATATTTACACGTATAATTAATCCGTACTAAATCATATAAAAAGTTAATAACTACTTTACAATATCACAATAATGATAACACATATCATGCCATTAAGGTCTTATGACATGGTAGCTGACATTAAGTATAAATACGAATAATTTATTTAATTTTTGTTGATTGCCATTTGGTCAGCGTTTATACGGTTAGCTTGAATTTAACTGTAATATGACATGAAAACATCGTGTTGAGAAACCCTTTAAGTAGGTGTTTCTACCTCACGTTCAACACTGGGAAACCTGATTCATGGGTGACTGCGATTCGGTGATCAGAGTTATTTCCCTTAGTTATACAAGGATCCTGGAGTTGTGGGTTAGAATACGATATTCGCCCTGATTTTAACGCAATTTTTCAGCTCCTCAGGGATCTTTGGTTTCATCAAAGAGGTAAAGGTCCAGCTTCCTCATCCCTCGCATCACTGTTATCCTAATACATCTGACACAGTGATATGAATGTTAATACACACACAAGAAGACTGGTACGGTGCTGACAATGGTGCAGTATAAGACGAAAACTGGGATTCGAACACATGATCAATTTTTACGACAGCTTAGAAGAAGATGACTGGTGGTTTTTGAGACCATGGTGCCCCTCTTCTTTCACGTGTGCCCGGTGTTCCATTGTCGAACGATCAGTCATACTTCACGAAGATAATCAGTCATTGATACACAACAAAGATAACACTGTCCACGACACATACATTAATCACACTGAATATAATATCACAGTTCTTTCTTAAAGCGTTACAACTGCTCCGTGCCTACTCTTCATATGGACACAACACCCTTGCAACGAGTCTCTATATTCTGAAACCGTTTCTAATAAATCGCTTTAAATGAAGACACCCATTCAGGGTTCTGTCCACATTTTGTCCAAAACACATATTCGGTACATAAGACATACATACAGCGAATACATATGTTTGAAACAAGTCTGTAACTTTATAACAACACATACAGGTTATAACGCAAAGAAGCGCGGAACACATAAACAGTGTTAAAGTATAAAGTTTAACTTCTTGTTCTTCAACACAACTTAGCTGTTGCCTTCGGAGGAGCGTAATGACCAAGGCGTTCGCTCGGAGGACCCGGTTCGATTCCCTTGGTGTGGATGACAATTTGTGATGCCGCTGGAGTATTTCTAAAAATGAAACGTAGTGGAATCATACAGATTAACTCGTCATGACCCAACACATATTTCCGTCTTTTGGGATATTCTTAACAGTCAGTCGAAGGAAAGGTAATTATGCATGATGTCAGAAATGCCCTCCCTTCTAAATAGCTAGATGGTCTTTACGATCGACATTATTCAAACCAGTGTCCCATTGTACATTTGTAGACTGCAACCTCGCATCGAGATGGCGTGTCCAAGTTCGGCAGGTACTCCGGGATTACTACTACTTGTTTCACGTCAGCCTACCACTGGGCCAATCAGGAAAGGATTACGACAAGAACTGTACTTCAGCATTGGTGGCACCAGACAGGGTTTCCATGGCACTTCATTATAGGGTTGATTACCACGGTACTGTCCCAGAAGGTCAGAGACTGAAAAGGCCCCAGCACGTAGATGATAACAATCTCCCTTGTGTGCCATGGTTATCAAATATAGAGCATTTACTCTCTTTTTAAACGTTCCCATGAATGTCTCTCACAATGGCTGTGTCAGTCCGCTGAGTGTCTCTCCTGTTGAGGGGTGATTCAGTTGTCAAGAAACCATTCCTGCTAAATAGAAAGGGTTATTCAGATGGAATATTAACCGAAGAAAATATTCATGATAGAATAAAGCCACAAAATCGTTTTCATAATTATAGGTGTGTAATTTCCTCAAAACCATGAGCATGTGTTTATAAATCCCTCTCGGACACCAGCTATTCGCTATTGCATGCTCTTTGTATGAACATACAGTCTTACTTCAGAGATATTATTTTTGCATTGAAAATGCGCACATTTACTATATCCTGGTTGTAAATAAGATGAAGGTATATATAGTGGAATGTTGTGTGGATATCTCTTACGATTACGATGACGATCTCGGATAACATGAATATAAAAAAATCATACCCTTTAGTTGTCGATAAAGGCTCCATTTCATCTGTAAAACAATAGTTGAATTTTAATATTTGTTGTTATGTTAATCTGGACCAGGCAAACATTTTAAACAATCCTGCTGCCGTAGAACGATGGTAAGAAATAAACATCTGATTTAATTACGACATATCATAGTCAGTCATTCAGAGTTATGATCCGTTTCCCCACATTGTTGAAATGCTATGATAATACAATGTCAGAATGGCTTAAGTAATAATTCAATGAGTTGGCCCTTACTTTGACCCTTTACTATGTCATCGTGATTTTATTAATTTGCCCATTCTGTGTTCATTCGACTTCTTTTCCTCTTGTCACAGAACTTATATACTGCAAGTTGACAACATAAGTTAGGGGTATTGGTATTTTTATGATTCATATTTTATCAGTGAGTCAATGAATAAACAGATCATTATTCATAATTTCAAAATTTAACATTTGTCCCTAACATTTGTCCAGTATATAAGTTCTGTGGCAAGAAGAAAAGAAGTCGAATTAACACAGAATGGGAAAATTAATAAAATCACGATGACTAAATGTTTTGTGCTGGCCGAAGGTATTTGCAAATATTGTACGAACATGGTGATATTAAATCTCTAAATTTGTTTTGCTCTATTGTATAACGAGGCACTCAGCAACATTCCAGCCATATCATAGTGGTCTGTAAATAATCGAATCTGGACTCAACAATCCAATGATTGACAACAAAAGCATCGATCTACACAGTGTGAATATGACGTGTCAGCCAAGCCAGAAACAACCCAATCCCGTTCCTTGCCTCCTCCGACAGACTTGGGTTGCGCCAGTACAAATCTTCTTTGGGTGACATGTAGGTAACGGTTTACATCGACCTGACCATACCACAAATGTTACATATGTAAGGAGAGCGTTTCTGATGTAGTGAATAGAAAATCATGACACAAAAACAAAATATATCACGTAGGTACATACGGTTTCCATAACAACGTCTTCGTTTCACGGTGTAATTCCCGTAGAGACAATAACATACTTTGGCAAACTCGGTCCTGAATTTACCTGAAATAAAATACCAATTACATTTAGCACCAGAAAACACCTACCGTTATGAAAGCATAATTTATCAAAGTTCATAGCATTTCTGATAGAGCACTGTGACTATGACGTGGTTCTATGCAGTTCTGTGAAACACACTTGAAACTTATTTGATCAACAAACAAACAAACAAACAAACAAAAAGAACGCATAAATAACAGGCATGGTTGCGATAATGTTGGATGTTGGTGAGGTGTGTAGGTATATGCAAGAGAAAGTATGCACTGACTTTTGATGATAGCTGAGAAGAAACAAACAAGAATGGTTATTCGATGGGGCCGTATTCAGTACGGTATCATAGTTGAGTTTTTGTCTGATTTGCTGCGGACTGTTTTCATCCTAGTGACAATTTAAAAACGTTTGTAAGGTTTGGTCCAAACCAGTTTTTAGGGATACGGTTTTCTCTGCCTGGCAGTGCATGTATGGCCAGTATGTTGGCCCTGTGAAACTTACCGCTCATGAAGTTGTAAATGACAGGGTTGATGGAACTGTTGAGGTAGACCATCCAGTGAGCTGTTAATGTCAGGATAGAAACGGAGTGTCGATCTATCATTTTTACCAGGGGACTTCGAATCAACCTGGAACAGAAACATCGCCTGAAACACTTACTCGGCTAAATACCATATGAAACACTGATCAGAAGGATAGAACCCCTTTACAGCCTTCAGCCAAACTTACAACGCCGATAACAAAGATTTTCTTGGACCTTATCAAAATGTACATCGCAGTAAATGTACTCTCTTGAAATATGTGTTTCTGTCCTTTTTGGTTTATGTAAGAGTGGGTTCCCAGTAAGGACATTCTTCCAAGACGTAGCTCAGTTATGGTATCTTTTGAATCATTATTTACAATATGACCCTTTATCAGTCATACAGCTGTCTCGTAATATGACAATCTCGACTGTCCCCATGACATTGAAGACTTCGACTTCAGCGTACCTCATCAAGTTCCATGAATAGTAAGGCAGATAGCACAGGATGAAAACGACGACAACTACAATTAACATCCTCGCGGTGCGACGTCGTGATTGGACTTGCAACGTCACGGCACTCTGGTCGCCCTCTGGAACCAAGACGACACTGAATATGTGGTATAGGAGAGGTGAAATGGAGCTTAACGTTAATTACTGCACTGATATTTTATAGTGTGCGTGAGTGCAAGCATACGTGCGTGTGCTATCCCTGCGACACAGTTGATTATTATGCTAATAATATATATTTATGTACTGATGGTATTTTAATGCCGCACTCTAGGAAGGTTAGCAACACATACAATATTGTAACGTCATGTTGTTCGACATGGTCGGTAATCGAACCACTGACTTCTAGAGGCAATACTCTTTCAACAACACCACGAAGAAAGTCAGATAGTTTCAGTTCTTGTTGGTTGGTTGTTTTGTTGCTTAACGCCGCACTCAGCAATATTACAGCTATATGGTGGCTGTCTGTAAACAATCCAGTGATCAATAGCATGAGCATCAATCTACGGAATTGGGATAGGATGACATTTGTCAACCAAGTCAGCGAACCTGACCACCCGATCCCGTCAGTAGCCTATTACGACAAGCATGGGTTGAGATCATTTCTAACCCGGACCCTCACAGGTTCAATAGTTTCAGTGTGTACATGACATAGTAATTTTACATTGAGGAGCGATTATACTTGTATTACCCTGATAACATTAAAACCATTAGAAAATGAAGCCTGTGTAGGTTCTGTTGAACAAGATAATGTTCCACCATGATGCAGTGAAGGATGTGACATCATCCAGCTATAATGAACAACCATGAAATCAGATAGAGCAGTTATTCAAGTATGTAAAAATACATTATCTGGCATTCGGATTAAACATTTTGTTTCAACAAGATAACCAAACATCACCACTCGCCACGGCTGTCCTTGATGATGGCAGAAAGAAAAGTAGTAACTGTTTCTGAAAACTCTGTAGAACATTTTTGTAAATACAATTCTTCTGTCGAAATGGGTGATTTATTTCCTACTTTCCGTTTCTTCTGTAGAAATTTGCGAAATGGATTAACATACTTTTCCATGGAATATCTTTTAAATCGTCTCTGATAATGTCTGAAATAACGAACTAACAAAAGCACTTTCGCTATTCACTTGGCCATGTTGGATAATTGTTTGACAAAAACTTTAAAGCTTCACCCTAATGCAAGGGCACGCTGATAGTATAGATTAAGCAGTTATAGCGTAATCAGTTTGACTTCAGCTACATGAAATACTGAACTTTGAAGAGTGATCGAGCTTCTCAAACAGAGTAATTACGTCGACCTGTTGTTTGACGTTGACAGGACGTTTCACCTCCGTGCTCCGAGGCCTCATAAACACTGGCATCATCTTATGTTGAAATCTTAGACTCGCATTAACCCTATCTCCGGGCACTGAACGAGCCATCGACCGCTTCCGAAGGTAATTTTGAAGGAGCTATTTCGGGGAACCAGGAAAACCAATCTTGCTTCCACAGACACGCGCAATTTATGACTCTAATCATCAACACTATTCCCAATGTACAGCATGCACCCTGCTTGGTATATGATGATGTTCCATTTGTGTCATCCAGAGCCGGGAACAGCAATCTTGTCATGGTATTTCACGTTAGTACACAATTTCGCACTTTGGTATACAATCTGTCTGGCTCCCATGCTGGAAGGCACAGCCTATTTGGTAATACAACTACCAAAGTTGTAGAAATCATACACGTATTGCATCGATTATCCTGTGTTATTTCCCCCCAGCAATCTGTTACACAGATTCCAGCCCTATATATTTAAAAAGTCGCCGTCTGTCTCGCCTCCTGGCAATCATCTGGTACCACTATCAAAAGTAAATGTTTGTGTGTAGCATCTTCGCTTGGAGGCACGGTTTGGTCGTAGGGGGGGTTGCGTCCACTCGGCGAACCAGGATGCTGTTCCTTGATGTTTAGTGAAATTTAGTTTTAATAAGAGCTAGTCAATTGCGTTTTAAGAGCATTTACCAATGTTCGGAATATCACGGCGAGGGACACCAGAATTAGGCTTCACACATTGTATCCATGTGGGAAATCGAACCCGGGCCTTCGGCGTGACGAGCGAATGCTTTAACCACAAGGTTACCTAGCCGTTTTATTTGAAAATATTCTTTCGTCGGCAACATGTTTCCTGTAGAAACTTTTGTACTCACTCAACTCTTTCCTCCAACACATGCCTGACAACAATGGTGGCTTAAACCAAACACAATCTCTGTCTTGCAAATAAGTGTATGACTAATTTAAACAGCATTTTCCAAAATAGGGCACAAACACTTATTTAAGATGAACACTTAGTCGCCAGGAGACACGACAGATTGGCTTAACCACTCCCATAACTGTCGTTGGGTCGATAATATTCGTATGTCACGACAGGCTATCAAACAGTTCATCACCTGCTTGTACATACGTGACATGCATTATCAGTAGAAAGGGAAGTTTTGATCTATGTTGGTAGGAATTCTGTGGGAAATAAAGCAGTGGAATGTCCGTTACCATTTACCGTGTACCAAGTGTTTTAAACAGTGTCAGCTTGTTTATTCATGCATTTGTTTAATATTGCCGTTGCCTGACGTTTAGTCAAATGTTCTTGAAGTTGTGTGTATGATACCCCTACCCTCATAGATGCGGCTGACAAATTATGTTATTAAAAGTTCAATTATACAACACAAATACATACCTGTAAGGTGTTGTCCAGTCTTGATACTGGACCATAGACACACAGCTATTGCAGTATACGTGTAGCCCATTACCACAATAGGCACAACGTAAAAGGTCACGAACATGAAGAGGTCATAGTTCAAGGCCAAGACATTTATGTCGTAATCGGGGACACACGACGTTAAAAGGATGGTTAAATTACTGGGTATCATAGGATCTCGGTATTCTCGGAAGATGAGGAGTCTGGGGATGGACAGCACGTGCGCGCCCACCCAGATGACCACAATGGATATAATCACTCTCCTCCTCGTCTCCGTGAAGGTTAAGGGGTGGCAGATTGCAAACCAACGTTCGATGGAGATGGCGGTCAATGTCAACACCGACACGACAACAGTCACTTCCTGCAATGACAAGAAAACAGACTTTAATCATGGATACGGTAACTGATTCACTTATGGAACTGGTAGCTTGAAAATACACCCTTCATGTATGATTTTACCAAGCAAGCAAGCAAGCAAAGAAGCAACGCTCAAAGCTACGCAGCGCAGCGCATCGCAGCGCATCGCAACGCAAAGACTTATGTTTGACTTTATGTTTATGTTTGAATCGTTCAATTTTCATGAACGATCCTTCCACATCGATACACCCCACCCCCAAACCAAAAAAACAACAAACAGAAACAACCCAGTAACATTAAAACCGAGAAAGTTGCGATAATTCTATGGTTTTCGAATTGGTTATTGGGTTACAATAAGGGATTTACGAATCGGATTTACTCATTCCAGTAATATCGGTTGTTGAAATGAAATCATTGGTATACATCACGATGGGGATGTCGGCATGCGCGTTGAGCTACTGCCAATGCTTGGATACTGTTCCACGTGCCGTATTCACAAAATTATTGGTGATATAGACGTGTGCATTCACTACTTCACAATTAAACTTTACTGCCGGCATACCATTTTGTAGATTATGTTAACTGTATCACGTTGCCCTTTAAGTAACTACAACATAGACACATAATAACTAAAGATAACACTTAGACATATTAACATAGATTTGTTAAAAATAAACATTTGTTCCTGATAATTTATGTTCTGTTTTTTTTTTGTACATGGAAAATGTTTTATACTAAACAGACACATGTTATTTTCAGACATTAACAGTGCCTTTGTTAATAACAAGAATGGTGTGATAATATTATAGAATCTATTCCTAATACATACCAAATATTCATTAAGATACATTATTAGTAGACAATTGACGTAAGCTATATAGTATCTGCATATATACCGGACTTGATGGAAATGAATACCTTCCTGTCTACAACAATTCCTTAAAGGAACAGTGTCGCACGGTAAGCATTATTAATTTTTAAACGTATTAAATGTTTACCGTCTATAACCGTAAACCGTTTCACCAACATTGCATTCAATAAATTACTCCACATGTCATAGATGCAAGCTCTTCAAACGTGCCACTTAAGGTTGTTAGCGTCATGGTTTCCTTACCATACACCTCCGTACTGAAACACATTAACAAACACTAACTTTACCGTTTTGATGTTGAACTTAACAGTACACACTGTACTCGCCATCGGTGGTACACACTGTACTCGGTACAAACATAACAATGCGAAACAGTCGTAATTTGGAAGCAGTTCGAATGAACATATCTCTTTGGGCACGTAGAACATGGACGTGCAAGAAGACAACAACTGTTTAAGGGTAACACCTAAAGAAATAATAGCTTGTTACACGTAAAAAACATGTTTTGTTTTTCACAGCTATTATATCCTTTATACAAAAAGGATATTTTTCTGAGGCTATTCAGAACGGGGCATTCTTCTGTACATGTTATATGTCTTCAAACACGTTAAGAGTTTGTTTTATTCGTTCTTTGCTTGGTGAGACTATATAATATATACGACTGAACATATCGACACACGATGTGTTAAACTTCATGAAACAGCTTTCAAAGATAAAAATGTGGTTACGTTTATCTGACTTTTAGCCATATGTTCTATTCAATTTTTCCATCGCAAAGATATGTTCAGTTCCAACACAGAGACTTCGAGAAGTATACACAAGGTTAGGAAGCGTGGACACGGGTTCTATTATTCTTACATCTATAATATGTGAAGTCTATTTTGTGTCATCCACAAAACGTGAGTAGGTGACATTTTTACATTATTCCAGGTACATAAGGGCGTCGAAGCTTAATGTGGGAGGCCAAGGTAACCCCATGTGATGTGGGTGTAAGGCGTGTACCACTTTGTTGCCGACACACCATATCGGGATGAACCGGGATCCAGCAGTCGTCGGTTTCAAGGACTCTTCACAGTGAATTCCAACACCTTAGACGACCCTCACCTGTGCCCGTTCGACCGTATGACAATATTACGTATAACAAACAATAAATCGAAAAGATATTCATTTAACAAGTAAAGGAGTATTTTGAAGTAATGTGTGATGTGTACAAACGACCAGCCACCATGAGATAACGGTTTAAGTTCAGCATAGATCATCTGTTTGTCAGAGTCCATATCATAAGACCCGTTTAGAATTGGTCTTCAGCAACCCATGCTTGTCGTAAGAGGCGACTTACGGGATCGGGTGGTCAGGTTCGCTGACTTGGTTGATACATGTTATCGTATCCCCATTGCGTAGATTTATACTAATGATGTTGATCACTTGTCTGGTCCAGACTCGATTATTTACTGACCGCCGCCATACAGCTGGTATATTGGTGAGTGCGGCGTTAAACAACCAACCATCCAAGCAGCCAACCAACCATAACATAAACATAACAGAAAACATCAGTGCTATAAGAGGGAATAAGTAGTCTTAATTCTCCAACAAGGTAAATACCATTGAGCGTGGAAGGAAAACAAAGATGGATGGATAATGTAAAAGGGTAAGCACGTTCAGTCAGTCGTGAATCCATTTGGACAGAGTTATTTGTAGCCATCATATTAATGCTTCAATAAAAACGAATTCACGAATTAGGTATAACTCACTCTCAGAGTGAACTGGGCATGCTTCCATACACTATGTAAGTCTCCTCAAACGACTTAATGCCATTCCAGTAACAAACCACCCAGCAGGACGTGCCAGTAAGCATGTCCATTATCATCAACCATCCTATAACGCAGCCCTGTTTCATCAGCAACATAACATCATTTACAGAACACTGAGGACAAAGCATGTTAGGGACTCACTCAAGACCTCTTCTGGGTGGTGCTAAAAGCAGAAAGTCTCATTAAAGCCCTTCTGTTAAGTAGTGGAAGGAATTTAGTTTATAACTCTGTATAAGAGTAGTAGACATTCCCTTTACTAATGACTTCCTTATTGGCTTCGGGCAGGTTCTTGGAGATACTTAAGGTCCCAGAACATCGTAACGTTTAAAAAACCCGTTATATCTGTCAATGAAGACATCAGTTGATGGAGTTGCTCTATGCTTGTCTTGTCTACTAAGCAACTGCTATAAGTACTGGATGACGACTGGGATGTCTGTTTGGCATTAAAGTATATAAAAATGTATTGAAAAGACAGATTTGTTCTTTCCTGAAGTGGGAGATCTGACGCAAGACTAGAAGTGCTTACTGGGATGATGTAGATTAATTCTTATACACTTACTTGATGAAGTTTTAAACTGTATAGTAAGTACAATTTCGTAATGGAAACACTTGAACACACTGTGAAACAGATAAAACCGATATAGCAGGTGTATTTTGGGGGCTATGTTGTTCATGGTTTAACACCCTTGTTAACAGGTATTCAGTATCGAGATTTCTGATTCACGCATTTATAAAGTATTATTCTATGGTCGGATATTCATATTCCGTAGTGGTTTTTGTTCAATTTCATATGTATTCTTGTCTTTCCATGATGTGGTTTTGTTTTTCGTGGCAGGTTGTAAGTTCAACCCTCGGCAATTACAATTTCACGTTGTCACAACGTTGTCACAACGCTACGCTTTAGTTGTTACAACGTTATTCTGTGGACTCCCATTTACGTTGTCACAACGTTGTGGCCTAACGTTGTGATACGTCATTTTTACGTCGCCACAAGGTTAAAGTTATTTGATGCTAACGTATTCTACGTTGTCTTAACGTTATATTTAACGTTAATAGTTGAATAGGTTTCCCACTAGTGAACAGTACATATGAAACAAAGCGGAAATTCACTTCAATGTTTATTCGTCAGTTTGCATGTCGTTTTGGTCGTATGCTTCTGAAGCTGAAACTGAATAGTGAAGAAAGAATCTCAAAGTGAAAATTTTCATAGAAAACTCTATCGTGACACCAAGTTATAAGAAACGTTACAACGTTGTGAGGAGCCCAAAGCATAATGTTACCTCAACGTCAATTTGCAGCGTTCTTATTACTTTGTGACATAACGTTATATAATGACGTAATACTAACGTTGTGTCATGACGTTACCATTCTACAACCTTCCCACAACGTTGCGAAAACATTGTGTATTAGCTGTGATGCGACTGAACAACTACCGTGGAAACCTGATAAGTAAAATTTCAAGGGACTCGCCAAAATTGTTAACTTATCAGGGATATTACGTATCCAAACTTATAAAAACCTGCAAATGACAACCATATGCATGTATATGAATACAGCAGAATAACAGACAACATTTATAAGTACTATGACATGTTTTATTCCATAACATTTCATTCAGTTAAGTAATACATTTATAATAGAAAGTAATAAAAATAAATAATCAAACAAAATCAAACATGTTTTAGTTTGTATTGTCAACTGCATGAAGCCAGCGAGCTGTAAGTAGGATGTTTGTTTAGATGGAGACTGACACGTGCCCCTCATGTCGGATTATGTGGTGATCGCTATCCATATGATTATGCAGTTGACATGAGTTTGTAAATTTAGGGTTTGTAAGGACTTTTCATTTGAAGGGACACCGACACTGGAATTCGGTCATTACTTTTTTAAGGAGAGGAAGGATAACATGACGTCACTCAAAGCAGTTGCCTGTCCTTTCCTGCAAACATCTGACGTCATCATGACGTGACATTATACATGACGTAATACATAGATAATATTCTCATATCAACATGGCTCCTCACGATGACATTATCATTGTATTCCCTCTTAATCTAACCTGGCCAGGAAGGTTAGTACAGTGAGTGAGTGAGTGAATAGAGGTTAAGGGCGAGAAAATGTAAGAAAGTATGTTGAGTTGAATTACGTTTCCTGAATGCAAGGTAACTTTGTTTTGATATTCTAGAGCCTGATGTTTCATCCATATCATATGTCAGCGCTTTGAGCATGCAATGTACATGGATAAATGCGCAATATAAATAGACTATTATTATTTATTGTCAAAAATCTACAAAACTATACTATATCTTATATAGCCCAATA